TTGGCGACTGGAAGACAGCTCAGACAGCTAGTTTTCTTGTAGGTTCAAAAAGCAATGTTAGGCAGTGGGGCCCGTGGCCCACAGGCCCAGTCCGTCCCTCAGGGCCCTGCTGCTTTGGTGTGGCGAAGGCGCCGTTTCTGAAGCTTTTGGCGACAACGTTAGGCAGTGGGGCCCGTGGCCCGCAGGCCCAGTCCGTCCTTCAGGGCCCTGCAGTTTTGGTGTGGCGAAGGTGGGGCCCGTGGCCCGCAGGCCCAGTCCGTCCCTCAGGGCCCTGCAGTTTTGGCGTGGCGAAGGCGCCGTTTGTGAAGCTTTTGGCGACTGGAAGACAGCTCAGACAGCTAGTTTTCTTGTAGGTTCAGAAAGCAACGTTAGGCAGTGGGGCCCGTGGCCCGCAGACCCAGTCCGTCCCTCAGGGCCGTGCAGTTTTGGTGTGACGAAGGCGCCGTTTGTGAGGCTTTTGGCGACTGGAAGACAGCTCAGACAGCTAGTTTTCTTGTAGGTTCAGAAAGCAACGTTAGGCAGTGGGGCCCGTGGCCCGCAGGCCCAGTCCGTCCCTCAGGGCCCTGCTGTTTTGGTGTGGCGAAGGCGCCGTTTCTGAAGCTTTGGGCGACTGGAAGACAGCTCAGACAGCTAGTTTTCTTGTAGGTTCAGAAAGCCACGTTAGGCAGTGGGGCCCGTGGCCCGCAGGCCCAGTCCGTCCCTCAGGGCCCTGCTGTTTTGATGTGGCGAAGGCGCCGTTTCTGAAGCTTTTGGCGACTGGAAGACAGCTCAGACAGCTAGTTTTCTTGTAGGTTCAGAAAGCAACGTTAGGCAGTGGGGCCCGTGGCCCGCAGGCCCAGTCCGTCCCTCAGGGCCCTGCTGTTTTGGTGTGGCGACGGCGCCGTTTGTGAAGCTTTTGGCGACTGGAAGACAGCTCAGACAGCTAGTTTTCTTGTAGGTTCAGAAAGCAACGTTAGGCAGTGGGGCCCGTGGCCCGCAGGCCCAGTCCGTCCCTCAGGGCCCTGCTGTTTTGGTGTGGCGAAGGCGCCGTTTGTGAAGCTTTTGGCGAGTGGAAGACAGCTCAGACAGCTAGTTTTCTTGTAGGTTCAGAAAGCAACGTTAGGCAGTGGGGCCCGTGGCCCGCAGACCCAGTCCGTCGCTCAGGGCCCTGCTGTTTTGGAGGCAGGCCCGGTCCGTCCCTCAGGGCCCTGCCGTTTTGGTGTGGCCAAGGCGCCGTTTGTGAAGCCTGGCGGCTGGGGCCGCGGCTCTGCTGCATCCGTCCCTCGGAGTTCTGCTGTTGGGTGAAGCCTCCGTTTGTGATCAGTTCTGCACGGGCCATCGGTCGGTGGGACACTGCTTTCCGTTGGGCGTGCGATGCGTTATTTGAATTTGCCCGGAAACTTTTGTTGAATGCACCACCGTGCCGCATGTTGGACATGTGTGTGCATGTGTGCGACCTGCAAGCCGGCCATTCGCAACGCGAAAAAATTTGCCGCAGCCATCACCGCGGCGGTGATCGACTTGCCCTGTCGTCACCGTGCTTGGCACAGATTTGGCGCAGTGCGGGCAAAGGTATGTGTACACTCGCGGCGTAGCTGCGTCGGGCCTCGCAGCAAGCGGCTGGGTCGATGTCTGGGCAACGCCCGTTCTGGTTTCGTCTGTTCCCGTCGACGTTTGTCTAGCTTCGTGCATTTTCTGAATCTCCTTGCGAACGTCTGCTAGGATTGCTTCGTGTCGTTGACGGGATTCGCGTTGGCGCAAGCGGGCCAAGCGTTGATTTGTGCGATGAGCAAGACGACACACGAAGGCAAAGGCTGTGCATGCATTGCATACTTGTGTACCATCCTGCGTATGTTTCCGACTTTGCTGCCAAGCTGTGAACTCTGCTCGTGGCTTGCGTTCGCTGCACTGGGAACATTGCCAACACCCCCGCTGTTTGGTGGTACATTCTCTGCAGCAGCGGCGGTCCGCGTTGCGAGCTTTCCATGCGGCCGGTCCAAATTCGGCTTCCGGTTTCGCAACGCCACATTTGAAACATGGTTTCTTGGCTTCGCATGTCAAACACACACGGTAAAAACTACATTGACGTTGCCGATGCTTTGCTGGAAAATTGGTCTCGACATGCCACAGCTTGCAGACGTTGCATTGCCATGGCGTCCCGGCATCTGCGTAATGCTTTGTGCATTCGCGACAAACGCGATCTTTGTCGTCGCGCTTCCACTGGCCACCGGTGAAAGCTGTAGATGGCTTGCGCTCTGCGCAGGTTGAACACACGCGTTCTTCACAATATTTGGCCAGCAAGTCCTGCCAATTGATCGGTTCCCTGCGAAGATGTCGGAGCAGCAGGTCCCGCCCTAAACCAATACCTTTCTGGAATGGAGCGGCGTCAAAAGGTCGAAAGATCAGGAGCTTCTCACGGCCTTGCACGCGGGTAATGGCGACGTAGACGGTAAATGGATTTCCCCTCGGCCCTATGCAAAGATCTGTCGTCACGCCTTCCTTGATGGTTTGGCCTTGTGCGACATGCGCTGTGATAGCAAACTGCGGCGCCAGCGGGAATTGGGTGCGTGAGACACGGAGCTTGGGGCTTCGACGTTGCCGGTCCAAGTACCACACGCGTCTGCAGGTCACAACTGGGTAGACGTTTGCGTCCGGGACACCGGATATTTGCCACGACGTGGCGGTGTCAAACTTCACGTATACCACGGCCGGCAAGTTGTTGCACACCATTCCTTCGGGTGCAGGTGTCGCATCGGCAATCGCAGACCAACTGACTACATAGCCCTTGGTGCCTTTCAGGATTCCACGCTTGCGGTCTAGGTGGTCTGTGGCCCGAACAGGCATGCCCACGCACAGCGGCAAGACGCCATACAGCCCACCGCATTCTTTGTCGTGTCGCTGCAACCACTGCAATTTCTCGGCCGTCAGATTCGGCTTTTCTTGGAGGACCGCTGCCGAAGCAAGATCGCGTGCCACAAATAAATACGGTAGGTGTCCTCGGGCGTTTGCCCATTGGAGGGCGCGGACCTTGTTGACGTGATATTTGATGTACTCTCTGGCTGAACCAACAAATTCATCCGAGCAGCTCATTATCTCCACTGAAGAGCGACATGGCTTTGGCACGATTCAGTGGCAGCGAAGCAATGTGGTTAGTCCGGCGAAGAAGGGCCGGGTAGGGGAAAACACTTCAACTTCGGAATGAGGAAAATGGGGACCGCAAAGGCCCTTAATGGGCTCCGGATTTCTTTGTGTTCACACTGGCGGCTTCTGTTCCTTCCCAACAAATTTGGAACCAAACAGGGTGCAAGTGATATCTGATGATATCAATACAGACTTTGCCCCAAACTGAAAGGGGCAAGTGGGGATTTGGGCTTGAATCCTACTGTTCCATAAATATCTATAGAACGTAGAAAGGAACCATTCAGTCGTCACTACATGCTGCTTTTAAATGATTGTGTGCCGTGGGTGCCACTATTGGCAAAAGAAGATTCCTCACTTTGAAGGAATGCGTTCCGAGCCTCTGCAAAATGGCCAAACACAGCCTCAGGATGCCTCAGGGTGCCTCAGATATCGCTCTCTCCCAGGGGTCGGCGGCAGGGGGCGTAGCCCCTTAATTTTTTGGATCTCCAATCCCCACGCCTCGCTTTTTTGGCAGCCGAATCGCTCTGAGCTCCCTGCGATCTTGAAATCCCTTAAGGATTGGATGCGAATGGCTGAGCGTCGGTGCCTGGCGAAATGGTTGTCTTGTCTGCGGCTACACTTAATATCCCTCATTACTCCAGCTTTATCATATTGTTTCCCATTTGAAGTACCACTTGGGGTGTATTTTCATGCATGTTTCCACTGCCATCGGGGGGTATGCCCCATTTTCAGACGTATCCAAAGCCGCCACAAAATGTGGGTAAAACCATGTGTTGTCCCATTCTATTGCCATTTTCATCCATTTTCCCCCATGTTTTGTGGGGTCATTCCTCCAGTTTCGAGGGTCCCAAAGCCACCTGTTGGCAGCGGTGCTTCTTCGTCTCAGCCAGGCGCCCAACTCCTGGCGGAGATTTCACAGGAGGATGGAGTTGCAGCAGAGGTTGACTAGATCTGTTTATGGCAGTAATGCAGAACACCCAACAACAAACCTACCATTCGGGATGGTTTATACAACCCCTTTATGGTGATGGAGTTGGTTCATTGGATTTACCACATTACATACGTCCAAAGAGAGGTACAGAATACGTATAATTACCTGCTAGCAGGTAGAATACATCAGCGAATCAGCAGTTGGAATATTCCAAAATGATACACGGCTCGACTTAGAATATTCGGAAAACATTAGCAGTTAGAATATTCCAAAGTCACATGAATCCATTCACCTCCTTGTTCTATTTAGCAGGTATTTAGCAACTATTTAAAAGCTATTTAGCAGTTGTTGCGAAGCTATTTAATAACAATTTGGCAGCTATGTGGCAGCTATTTAGCAGCTATTGAGCAAGAAGTAATGTTTTTATTGATATCTTCATTATCGAATATTCTAAGTGCAAATATATATATATATACATATCTACTATACATATCGACCATATCCAGTTGATCTGCCATGTCCCATCCCATTTCAAAGGCCCTGAGAGCACCTGTGCGTTGCCGGTCATTTGCCTCGCCTCCTTGATGAAGGACGGGTCCTGGGAAAAGCTGTGGGCAACTGGTTGCCAAAGCTACAGAGCTGGTTGCCCCAGGTGGTGGCACAAAGTTAAGATCCATTGGAATCCAGTTTTTGCCGGAAATGGAGAGCCCCAAACTAAGAGCTATATGTCTGAGCGGCCAGGGGCCTGGGCCAGCCCCTTGAACCTAGCCCCTTTGAGTTCCAGCTTGTAACAAGTGAACAAAAGAACCTTTCAATGTCCCAAAGCCAGCACGTTCCCACTGCCCCAATCCTGAGAAGCAGTCACAGCCTCGGGGGGTTGCTGGGTTGGCTTGGCTGACCGATCTGTGGCGTTTTTTTGTTGGGTGTGAGAAACCCAAACCACCATTGTCTCAGATTTACTGCGCCAGAAGAGACTGAAGAAGCCTCGGAAACTGATCAGGGACAACTGGATTTCTTCAAAAAAATAGGGCACTGCTGGTCTGATCATTGAGTGCCCCACAGTTTCACAACTGTTTTGTTTCACCATGTTGGCCCTTTTGAGGTGTCCCCGAAATTCTGGGCCCAAATCTCTGCCACGCCATCACAGCGCATTGTGCCGCACGTGCGGCACACCTTTTCTGTGCTGGTCTCAGAGTTGCTTCTTCAGCTCAGTGACGAAATCCTGTCGCCCAGCGGTGGGTCGGTCCGTTAGCTGGGACGATTTATTCGGCAATTGGCCATTGCTTGCCGTCTGAGAGAGAGAGGGATGAATAGCGATAAATAAAGATATAGAGATAGATACAGAAAGATACATTGATACAGTTGACACACATACATATACACATAATATTACAGAATGATACAGAGATGCAGAATGATACAGAATGATGTAGAGATTGTAGAGAGATAGATGATCTTGTGGTTCATATCATATCGTGTCCAATCACAAGGGCCCCTTGGCACCTCCGCTAAGATGCGAGCCACCTCAGTTTTGCCATGGGATCTCACGGCGCCGTTCAGCTTGTCCATTAAGGCTTGGAAGGCTGGCGTAGCACCTGGCGAGTTCAAGGTCCAGGCGGCTCGCCACTCCAAAAGAGGCAGAAACTCACTGGGGATGGCGGATCGGAGGGAAGATCATAAAAATCCAATGATCTTTTCGGAAATCTTCCGGAAGATAGAGATACAACATGATACAACCAACAAGAAGTGACTTTGCGTATACTTAAGTGACTATTAAGTGACTTAAGGCCATTTCTGCGTAGTGGTTCCTGGATGTTCCTGGCGATTGCAGCTCGCCTGGTGGTAGCTGATTATCGCAAATCAACTTCATCTGCGGGGCTGAGCTGTCCTGGTCGGTGCCCGTCTCCAATTTTCACACCACAATCCCTGCTGGACAGTGTTGGCTACCTTGTATGATTAGGATTGATTATATATATATATAGAATTGATATATAAATAGTTTCATCATGTTTCATCATGTTTTATCATGGTTTATCATGTTTATCATGTTTTATATCATGTTTTATCTATATAAGTCCCATTGTTCAGCAATGAAGAAAGTCCATAGATCGGGGAAAATCATGGCACTGCTCCACGTGGATGTCATTCACCCGACATCCTCAGAGGAGAAGTCAGTGACCTGCAACAGCAAAGCCGCAGCCAATTTCGGTACTGCTTAAGGATGGAAAAAGCAATGCACCATCCCATGGTTGGGGCCAATTTCGAACTTGAAACTTGTTGCTTTTTAAGGTTTCAACCAGTCCCAACATGTTCATAGAGCCATAGCAAGCGTGCCTGGATTTGGCCTTTGGCTTCCAGAATGGATTTCCCTTTCCTGGCGAGTGCTTGAAACCTTCCCAGTTACCAGTCGTGGCCATGGCTGGTCGGTCAACTACAACTGCCAACTGCCAAGACACTCAATGGGCTGTTCCACCTTCCAATCCTGAGAGCCCAGCAGGCAAGTGATAGGTCTGTCTGCATCGAGTTCCTTTCTGCTTGTGTGTCTCACCGAAATGTTTTGGTTGCGGCACGGTCCAACCAGCACGCTTGACACAAAATGGTGTAACCATAGTAACCACCAACCCGTGACCCCAACCTGCCCAATGCTTTTGTCACCCATGAGACGGTCCAAGTTTCCAAGTCAATCTTCAGCTCGAAAATGGGTTGCGGCTTGCCGCCCTTCACCGCCAGGGCGCAGTCTCCTCGAGTCTCCACTCTGAAGAAACCTGGCGTCAAAACCCGAACGGGCAGGGGATGCAAGGATTTCAAACCGCTGCCATGAAACATGCGTCAGTAATCAACAAACAACTCTTGCCTCACCCACCTTTCCGTGGTGTTCATGAATCGGGTGCCACAATTGAAGAAATGTGAAGAAATGAAACTGAGCTAAGCGGCTCATTTTGGCTCCTTCAGTGCCTTCCAAAGGGATCACCATGTCTTTGAAGGTGGTCCTCAGCTGTCAGGATGGAAACGCAGCCGGCCGCAGAAAAATGGGAGGATGTCCACAGCATACTGTCCGGTTCGTGCGCCTGTGCTTCAAAGCAAGCCACAGGCACAGTATGACACGGTTTTGACATGTCCCAATGCAGCACATGAATCACAACCAATGAACCCGGTCACATCCGGTAACCCATGGCCCCCCGCAATCGGCAAGTGCGGCAAATATGTCCCAAGGGGCTCCAAATATCGCTTTGCCCACTCATCCCGGTTCTTCTCATCCCAGGCCATAGCGGGATGGCGGGACAGGGTGACGACTGGTGCTTGAAAGCGCCCTGGTTTGCACTCGTCCTCCAAAACCACCCTTGGGGATCCTTGGGGATCCTTGGGGATGGTGGTCATGAAATGTCATGGATGTTTATGATGATGGATGTTTATATGATCCGATCTGAACATGGCACCACCATGGTGCATGCAAAAGCTGGCTGCAAATCCTGAGCCTTCGAAGCTACGAAAAAAGTAACCAACAAAGTCCATGCCACAAACAGGTTGCTGCGGGTTGCTGCGGAAATGACTGGGTCCAAAATGGCCCAAGATGTCCAGAAACCCTGATGATCGTTTCAATGAGCGGATTGCTGTGAATTCGACCCAATCCCGAGCCCCAGCCATCCCCAGCCCACGCGGGACCCCGGACCATCTCGAAGTGGTATGTGTCCACCATCAGAATGGTGGCCTTATCCGAAGTCACCTTCACGGTCCTTGCAAAGAAAAACGCACGTTGTCCCATTACCATGTCTGGTTGTCGGAGGACACACCTCAACAGCTGGTTTTTTTCCGAGCAGCGGGCAGCAAGCCAGTGGCTCCCCGCCAAACTGATTGTGAGGCTCCAGTCTAATTGCCGTCTATAATCACTAACAACAACAAAAATCAAAAATGACTGAACATGACAGTTTGGTGACTTCTTCAGATCCCCAAACAGGACAAAACTATTGATTTAATTTCATGGTTCCTGGACTGTCTCTGGCCCACATCCAGTGGGCTCTCCTAGTGGCTGCGATATTCTCCAGCAACTGCTTCTCGCCCACCCTGACAGTCATGGCATCCCTGTTACTGAGGTATCAACCATCTGGTAACTCACAACTACCCAATTCTAGATTCATCAGACTGGATATACAATATATATATATATTGTGTTAACCTGTTAACTGTTAACCCGTATAGATGCACTGCCGGGACGGGCCCCAAAATTCTATCCTTTTTGCTGTCCAGTAAAACATGGATCTTGAGGTTGTTTACCCATTGGTAGCAACTCTATGATCTGGGACGGGTTCTGGGCTTGGCACAAAATTCAACTGCGGAAACGGCAGCATGCCTGGACCCCTTGGGGCCCCTGACCAATCACCTTTGAGCAATCCTTTCTTCCCCTGTCGCATTTCAATCCATGGGTGTCTTGAGTTCAGCTTTGTCCTAAACCTCAAAACTCAACGGTCCCGAAGCCCCAGGGATTGTTCAATTTTTAGTTGCAGGAGAGAGGAGATGGGAAAATCAGGCCCCCTCGATGACCCCAATTCAAATCCTAAATTCCTCTCTGAAGCAAAGCAATCAATGGGAGATCTGCCATGCAAGATATGCAAACTAGGCTACGGCGCGGTTAGCGACCCGGGGTATTCATTGATTTTTCATGATGCTTGGTTCACCAAATCATGGTATTTGCACGGTTTTGTAAAAACGTGATAAAAACGTCAAATCGTATTTACACTGGGGCCTACTACCAAAAGTGCGTTTCATGTGGAACGTTCATCGATTTTCAACAGGTCTGAAACGAATTATTGTTTTTTCTTTTGTTGGAGAAATTCAGTTACATTTGACCACCAGTCGTTGAGCAAAACTTCTTTTTCAACGAACGTTAACATCCCCACCCCACCCCAACCCAGTGATGTGACGTCAGTTGTGCATGTGACGCAAGTTAACATGAACGTTAACATCCCCACCCCACCCCAACCCAGTGACGTGACGTCAGTTGTGCATGTGACGCAAGTTAACATGAACGTTAACATCCCCACCCCACCCCAACCCACTGACGTGACGTCAGTTGTGCATGTGACGCAAGTTAACATGAACGTTAACATCCCCACCCCACCCCAACCCAGTGACGTGACGTCAGTTGTGCATGTGACGCAAGTTAACATGAACGTTAACATCCCCACCCCACCCCAACCCAGTGACGTGATGTCAGTTGTGCATGCATCAATTTCAAGAGCAACTTGCCTCCAATCAGCAAAAATGCCAAAAACGCAGGGGTCATTAATGGCGCCGTAGGCGCAAACTAGGGGGAAGGGCTGGCCAAGTACAGTATATCAAAGTGTCAAATGCAATGCACATCAACACACGTCATTACACAACAGGTCAATAACTAGGTTTTCCATTCCAAACTTCAGGACTTTCGCAGTTTTCCACCCCAAGAAGTACAGTGCCAGCTCCTCACAAGTCACTGGGAGCAACAATCCAAATTTACAGGGACGAAAGTAAGCAGTCAAGCAATCAGACCATAGAGATATGCGAATTCACATAGGGGTGCGAATAAAGCATCAACTTTTACCAGATGTTTTTACCATGTTAACGTATGTTAACGTGTTGTGTTTTAAACTACCGAAAAGGCGCATCTTTAACATCTATATCATCTATCACTAGGTCACTAGGTATATAATTACGGTAGTCGTTAACCCCCCAACAGGATGGCTGCAAGACCTCTTCCTCATCGGACTCGACGACCGACAAGAAGCCTGGTCTTGCGCGCTGGGGAACAACGCAAGGGTCCAAAGGGTCATAAAAACAAACAGAAAAAGAACTTCGCCACAAAGCTATATCAAAATTGTTTGGGGTAGACTTGTCTGCCTTCAGGGAAGGGCTGCCAAAGCATTACACCGCTCTCGGCATTGGCTCGAACAATACCGACCATTTCGACAGCAAACCGCCCCTGTGCCTGACTGAAGAATGAAAAGTTTGCCTGCATCTTCGCCTGCATCAAGTGCTGACCCACATTCACAGCTGCATTTGTTATTTTCCCTTCATCTCTTGTCTCAAAGCGGGTAACGAAAAAAAGAACGCATGTTATGATTTTGAAGCAAGGATTGCCGCAAAAAAAAAAGGACATTGTTGGGTTCTCTGGTCCTAGATGTTGAGCTCCCATTTTCAGCTCGATGTTGCAAACCCGCAGCCAGCCTTTGACACAAACCACCTCGTCTTGATAAAGTACAATCTCCTGCCGAGTTGCTCAGAGGATTCCTCCCGTTGCTTTTTTTTTTGGGACGTGATCCTAACTGGTGGATTGATGAGCCATTGCCATACCCTCTGGTAAACTAACATAACTATGGAAAATCACCATTTTTAATGGGAAAATCCACTATTTCTATGGTCATTTTCAATAGCAAACTGTTAAATTACCAGAGGGTAGTTGATGAGTTGGTGGTCGGCCATCGGCCCCAGGTAACCCACGGTAACCTCCACCGAGCCAGCGAGGACTGACATCAAGGCCAAGTCGATCTGAGCAATAAATCGAGGATTTCAGGAACCCTCCATAACTCAGGTTGGGGGGTAAAACTTTCATTTGTACAGAATTTTAGGATATTATAACTTATATAACTTTGGTATGTAACCAAAGTGGGGTAGGGGCGTGCCGAAATTCAAATGAAGACTTCCGTGATCGACTCATAATCCAATTCCCAACAATTCATATCAGCATCTCCAGCACTGCAGGCTGCACTCCATTGCTCGGAGTTGGCAATGGAAGCTCTTGTGGCCAGTACCGAAGTCTGTTTGCAAGTGACAATGAAATGAGCCCCAAGCCGCATCACGAACGGCAGGGACGTTGTGGAGCATCATCGTGTGCCTGGGCTGACTGTGGGTCCTCCCTGGGGGGAGGTTGCCGACCCAGCTTGATTTAACAAGCAAATAATCATGGGGTTGACCTCAATACAGGTTGAGGATGTGCGTGCACTCAAAGTTGGATACCTGAAAACTTAAGGTTGGCAAAAGATTGTGGGTTTTCATTTGTCTTCGGCATGATCCCATAACGGAATATAACGGATAGGTTGTGGAGAGTTGAGGGGCAAAACTTGATTCAACCATGGCAAATCACGACAAAAATGTCTTATGATGGGTGGCTAGTTGGTGTTGCAACCTACGCGAGTTTTTCTATGTGACCTCTCCAACTGTTTCAACTTTCATGGAAGGCTTCAAACACAGTCCCAAAGGATCTTGTGAGGCCAAGGGTCTTATTAGTCAACATTGTTAACTCCCATAAGAGTGAATGGTTTCAGACCCACTGTCAATGACCACTTTTTTTTAAGCGCAAAAGTGGTACTCCAATGGTTGGACCATCAAACAATGGTGTCCTTGAGGAAAAATAGATGGGTCGGTTTGGGTACCACTAGTCATCATCTACATAGAATATCATAGAAAATCATAGAATATCATAGAATATTAGAATCTATGTACTACTACAGTAACTACTAACCAATGGAGAATGAAAAAAAATGTGTGTCTTACTACGGTGATACTTGAACCATGAAATCACCAGATTTAATAGATCACCAAAAAGAATCAACTTGAAATCCCCTTGAATCACCATGTCCAAAATCGTCTGAAAATAGTGTGCTTTGAATTTTAATGGTGTATTATGATTTTTGCCATCAAAACATGGCCATAAGTTGCGGCAAAAAAGCCTGTCTGACACACCCAAACATCATATTGCTGCTTTTACATCGCATTTTTATAAGCTATTGATATCCCCATCATATCCCATTGCATCCCTATTGTTGCCCTTTTTCTTTGGCAAATTTGGGTATGTTCGCACCCGAAAAAGGCCAGAAATTTAAGCGCCCAAAGGCTCTTTCATCTTGTGCTGTGTGGTCTCCTGTAGCATCTCCTGGCAGCATGGGCTGTTTTTCTGGCCGACTGTGCAGATCATGTAACCACTGAAAACACGTTCATGAAAGATGATCACCAGTGATCACCACTTTGAAAGCGGGCATCATTTAGGAACTTAGACATTATCTGGTTGGTGGTATACCTACCCCTCTGAAAAATATGAAAGTCAGTTGGGAGTAGTATTCCCAACATATGGAAAGTCATAAAGGTCATGTTCCAAACCACCAACCATTTATATCATGGTCTTTCAGATATTTCAAGCGACTGGATTTCGATCGGTGTAGCCGGTACCCACCTTGAAGGCAGACCGTGGCAGCACCCAAAGCCTGCTATTTTCCGTGTGTTTTCCGGGTATGTTCCTG